GCGCTTTTTTGCATGATGGCCTTTTTGCAGGCTCCAGATCTTGTTGTGACACTGCTGTGCTTGCAGCTGTACTTTCGATTTCCACCACCTCTTGGTCTGATGGTAGAATGGCAGCTGGGGATTCTAAAAAAGTGATAGGTGCTGGGCCTTGCTCAGGCTTCTCTTCTGCAGGCTGAAGGGCTTTCTTTTTTGGTGTCTTCTGGTTAAGCCTTCTCACTGGCCTTTCTGCAGGCTGTGGAGTGCCAAACAGACTTTGCATCAAACCCATCAATAGACCAGAGGTTTTTTCTCCAGTCTTGAGATTTTTCCATTTTCTTCTCAGAAAGTTTTTTGCATTCATGAATTTGGTTCACGATCAACTTGCATTCTGATGTGGTCAATTTATGGTTGGCTTCTTTCATTGCTTGCCTTTCCACAGGCTTGCTCAAAGCCCCATGCTTGAACCACACACCCAAAAACAATGCATGCCTTGTGCAGGCTTCTTCAGGGTCAGCTGGCCACAGGTTTGCATTGCAAGAGTCAGGGAAGCCTTTTGCAAAGGCCACCAGCTTGCTGATATCTGCCTTTATTGCAGGCTGGGGGATGGGCAGCGTTGCTTCTCCTGACATCTATACCTAGCTTGCTTAAAGCCAAACAGCTGCAACATATCAAATATCTTGTTTCCAAGAAGCGCTTCTGGGAAGCCACAAAAAGTGGCTTCCCAGAAGCGCTTCTTGGAGGTGGTAACATGAGTTTGGGCAGAAGCCACATTTAGAAGTAGAATCTACTTTTCATGGCTGCCAGCCAGTTTTGAGAAGATAAGATTTGTGGCTGCCAGCCATGAATCCTAGCTGCCAGCCACAAATCTTATCTTCCAGCATTGGCTTCTAGGGGGCCAGAACCTTGGAAAGTGGCTGGCAGCCATGAAAAGTAGATTCTCGGATCCTTAGGGATGTCAGCGAACGAGTGGAGGGTGATGCCCTCAATCAAAGCGGCCTGAGTATTTTGCGGAGCTACGAAAGCAAAGTCTTGCGGATGGGACCAATGGCAAATGCTTTCGAAAAACACACGAATCCATTTCAAGGTCTGCGACTTGCCGGCTCCTGGCACGCCATGCAAGATTGCACGAAACGGCTCGGAACGCTGTGGTACGTTCTGCCGTTCTTCTTGGTGCTCCACCATGCAGCGTTCCAGAATGGCTTGCAAACACTGGGTCTGTTCTCGGCTCGGTGTCGGTCCAGTCGTGCTGCTTTGGAGGAAATGTGCATAACTGACATCTACGTTCGGGGGTGGTTTATTAGGATTGGGCCTATTTGGGGTGGTTGGTACAGTCGGAGCTTGGCCGGGATCCGGGATGCCGACACACTTGTTCCTACCCTGAGTCTGCAGATCAACTAAATTTAGTTTTTGGATGAAATCAATGTAATTGAAAAAATTAGTTGGTTTCCTAGTAAATTTTGGAAAAACTAATTTTTCATAGTAAATTTCAACAAAGTCAAAACAACATAGAAACAGCATAGAAACAACATATACACAACATAGAAACAGCATAGAAACAACATATAAACAACATAGAAACAACCACAACAGTCAACACAAAAACAACACAGAAACAAACAAAACATTGGTTTGGAAGTTACACATGAAGTTGGTTTTCACAGGTAACACACACAAGTAGCATTGGAATGAATTTACACCTTTGAAGTTTGTCTTCACAGGTAACAGACAAGAATGGTTTCCAACATCAACTCACAAGCAATTTCTTTTTCTTTTTGCTGGGATGTGTGAAGCCAGGTGAAACTCAAAGCTTGCCCTGCAACCACATTAAATGGCGCTCTTTCCAGGCTGCTTTTTTGGAAGCTTGCCAATGCTTGCTGCCAGCTAGGCAACTCTTCCAAAGGGTCTGTGCCCTGTGCATGGTACTCTCACCCTTGTAGCACCACAGCAAAAATGGGTGGATGTACTTGGAAAATTGGAGACTATGAAGTGCAAAGTGGGTCTTCGATGTGACATTGAAAATTTTTATGTCTTGTGCTTCGAAGTGTTCACTCAATTGTTTGTGCAGCTGAGCCATAGTCAACCCTGCCTGGAAAACTTTGTCATATTGTGCCTGTGGAATTGCAGTAAACCCGTATGTAGGAGAAAAGGTTTCCAAAGTTCTCTTGAGCTCAAGATTGTATTGTAAGAACAATCTGACACGCGCATGCCACTCATCTCCTGCTTTCATTTGTTCTTGCCAAAGGTCATGGAGACAGTGTGCCAAACCTGCTATGTCTGCTGCCCTTCCTCGCAGTTTAGGGTATCCTTTTTTTGGTTGAAACATGGTGAGCTTGTCCAGTTTCATCTTGTATGGGTGCTTTGCCTGATTCTTCTTCTGGTGTTGCTTGATGTAGTTGTAGACAAACTGCAGGTTGTCCAAAGGCTCACCCTCCAACAAATAGTACACAAGTAAGTGGATGACAGATCCAAAGAAATGTTGTAACCAACCAAGAGGCATTGTATGCATGAAATCCATGGCTAAGCATTGGTTGCTGAAGCCTGCCATGGTGTACAGTGGCCCTTTAGGGCTCCAGTGCTCTTTGTAATTGCTTGGCATAAGCACTGAAGCTTGCCAGGGGCTGTCTTTTCGGTTGTCCAAATAGGACATGGGTCCTGCAAAGGAAGCTCGACAAAGAGGACAGGGTTTTTCATGGTTGGTCACCCTTGGTGTCTCCAACCATTTGCTCATGTAGTCTAGATCCCCTGCCAGCTGAAGAAGTATTGCACAGTAGCCTTCAGCCAAGTCTTTGCCAGCTCTTCTGGCTTCCTTTGACCCCAAAGCAAATGGTTGGCCCTGCCAATCCACCAAAGGATATTTCCCTGAAGCCAATGCAGAAAAAGACCACTTCATAATTGTCCAAAACACTTCCATTGTTCCTAAAGCAGATCCAGCTGCTGGGACCACATATTTTTCGAATATGCCCCAATGTAAGGTGTGCGTCTTGAAAGCCAGCTCCCCCTGCTGATGCCATGATGGAAAACCATGAAAAAACCAGTGCACACTTACACCAGATTTTTCCAGTGCCTAAGACTGGCACCTCATCACCGTGTAATCCCAGTGGTATGGTGAAGCTCTTCCATCCCTTCCTTCTTCTGCATGGATGGGACTGCATACATGGGTGGCCTTCAAAAGAATTCCAAAAACCAGGAAGTTTGGCTGGATCTGGGAGGATGCATTTTTCCCAGGCTTCATCCTTTTGGTACATAGCTGCAAAATACTCGTGTGGTAGAAGGATCGCTGCAGAGGGCGTGTCATCCACACTACCCTTCATAGGCATGTGAACCTCGAGGGGGTCTGGGAGAGTAGACTCCTTGGCCATCATCCTAGTCAACATAGGGCCCAAATTCTTTGCATGTTGCAATGAAGCAATCTTCTTGAGCTCTGTGATCTTGAGGCCTGAGGCAGCATTGTCCAAATCTTGCTGAGCTGCCTTAGCAATGGAGTCAAAATTTGGTGAAACTGCTCCAGGGAGCAACTGAAGTGAGAGACTGTGTGATGTAATGTTTCTTAAGCACTTAATGCTGAAGTCCTTGGAGTTACTTGTGAAGTTACTTGTGAGTTACTTGCTGCAGAGAAAAAACCATAGTAAAAGCACTATTACATATTCAATCATAATGTGACTATCCAACAGCTTTGGCTCATAATTTGACAGATCCCTGCATAGAACTGGGTGCAATGGCTACTCATCACCTGCCTAAGCTGGCAACTGTTGCTGCCAAGATGAAAGTGATGTTACTTGGGAGATCAATGTGTACAGCTTGCCTGTCTGAGCCTGGCCATTGAAGCAACTGGTCATGATTGAGGGGCTGTGTATAATGACAGCTGGACGTATGAACCAATTGTGGGCTGAAAAAGAAACAGCTTCAGTTACTTGTAGTGCTGATGGACTCAGGTAACTAACTTGTTGAAGGCAGTATGCTGACAGATGTTCTCATGTAAATCCAAAAATGTAACTGACAGATATTCTCATGTAGCTTGATTGTACTTGTATCCAACACATGTAACTGGTGTAACTGGCAGATATTCTCATGTAACTCTTTTGTATTTGTATCCAGTATCCATAACATGTAACTGACAGATATACCCATGTAACCCATGAAGTACTAACATTTTTTCAACCAATATTCTGCGAAGCTCAGGTTTGATTCTCTTCAGGCTGCTGCAAAAGCAAGCCTTACTCGAATCTTGCTGCCAAAATGCAACACATGCCCATGTCAATAGGGGCAATCACTTCTTAGCGCGGTTGGCTCGAGCATTCAACTGTCCCTTGATGCCAGCCAGAATGTCATCCAGGCTCTCAGCCTTCTTGCCACACTCTGCCATCAGGGCATTGTGCTTGCTGAGTGTGAGCTCTTGACCATTCTCAAGCTCTTTGAACCGGTATGCGTGTGAAATCTCAGCCAGGACCTTCCTGATATCAGTCATCACATCTTTCCTGAGATTATGCAAAATGATTCAAAAACACAAGTAGAGAGATTCCCATTTTATGAGCCAACAATATGTGTTTCTTTTTCAAACATGATATCAATCATTGAATATATCATCTCTGAGACAGTGCATGTCACAAGTAACTTGTGTCTCCATCAAATGAATGACTTCTCTCAAGTAACTTTGAAAATGAGTTCAAGGATATAATGCACACATAGTCTCTCAAGTAACTTTCTTCTAGTTACCTTTCCCTATAAGAAGTCTCCCCTAAAGCATATTGCAGCCAAGATGCACCACTTCAAAGACTGGGTCAGCACGGTTGTCCCCAATGACCTGCAAATGCTTGAGACCATCCTTCTCAAGCTTCGACATGGCATCCTTGGCCTGAATCAACCGTGTCTGGGCCATTTTCCACTGCTGAGGAGAAAGGGGAGCATCCATGGCCTGAATGGCCAAGGGCGGTGCTGCAGAGCTACTGGAACCTGAGGTGGTAGGCAGTGCAAAGCCCTGGGACCAATGTCCTGCTGACATTGCTTCAATCATCTTGTTCATCTTGGCCATTTGCTTCTGGTCTCCCTCATTTTGCTGAATCCAACCCAGTGCGTTTCTATCTCCCTGCTTACAGGTCTGGGCTTCTTCCATCCATAAGTAGCGTGGACCATGGTCTGTTTGGATCTCTTGAAATTCTCCCTCAGCCACTCCTGCCAGCAGGTCAGCCTCTGTGAGATTGAAGCGTCCCATAAACAATCGCTTGCTCAATGACTTGGTGGACTGCTTGTTGGTCTTTTCTTCAAAGCTTTCTTTCAATGATTGGAAAACAGCCTTGTTGGCATTGAGCACCAATCTCCCTGCCTCACTTCTATC